CCAAAAATGAAAATTAGCCCATGAATTACTCACCCTCAAGGCATCCTAGGTGTATATGACTTTCTTCTTTCAGACCAATCCAGTCGGAGTTATATTAAAAATGGTCTTTGCTCTTCCAAGCTGTTTAATGGCAGTCAACGGGTGTTGCAGTTCATCAGTCAAAAAGAAGTGAAATAAAGCGCACCCTTCCATAATAAAAAGTGCCTCACACGGCTCCGGGGGGTGAACAAAGTCCTCCTCTAGCGAATCGTTGCGTTTTTGTACGAAAAATAACCATATATAAAACATAATAATCAATTTAATCTAGCTTGCGCTCACTGTTGTACACGGAAGCAGTTCCTTGCCAATCCACACGGAAGCAGTTCCAGTTCCCAATTTTTCCTCAAAAATAATGACTGCATGACACCCCTGATTATAATATTAGTGTATACACATGCAATACACAAAAAATGCACACTATCCGCCCTTACACTCCCACCCACTAGGACAGTTTTTTCTACACACCCACTCAGCTTTATTAGAGTTCTAAGAACACACACACATACCTCTATGATGATAATGGCTCCCTTATAACCATAATTCCGACCCAGCACAAAGAGTACCGTTTTCTTTTATGGCTGAGAGCTCTCTGTGCATTGTCATTGGCTCACCTCAGTGTTTTACAGACTTTAAGCTTCCTGCTTTCAGCCTTCACTGCATGTGATTTTTATATTGTATTGTAGCAGAGTAATTGAGTCCAGTGATTTTCTGAGCAATATTATTACACTCTTTTACTATCCCCTCCTGTTATTAATAACCATCAAATGGGCACATAAAAAGAGGGGTGTTGTTTGACTGATACAAGTGTTAAAATAGTTTGTCTATCATAAACATTCTCCATTCTTTGGTCTGAAAAACTAGTTCTACATGGCGAATGTGGCTTTAGAGGAGGGGATTTAAAGTGGCCAATATTATTAAACAGCTCAGATGTCATTAAGATTTTTTCAGGGTTGGTTTTTATAACACAAATGTTTTTTTTTGTAATAACCTCTATCTTCACTGAAGCAGGATCAGCACAGCAACTGGTTTTACGCTGCATTTTATATAAGTAACACTGTAAGTCTGATCCTGAAACAGTGGATAGTGAGGCATCACTTCTGGAACATATTTTCAAGGCTTATATTATAGTGCCCAATCACCTTCTCTTGAGTGCTATGGACTAATGAGAAATTACTAATGAAATATTCAGAGGTGTGTACCAGTATGATATCTTTTGATAAGATAAAAACAGGAAACTTCTATGATATATAATTTAGTTACCTGAGTGTGATATTTTGTGCAATATAACCTTCTTGGCCTGGTTCATCTGGGTATATGTGTGGTATTTATTGTTGTTTCTGAACATAGGATATTGTGATGTCCAAACTAAAAATCTTAAGAGACTGTCAGATGTGGCTTTCTTTTCAACCCTATAATGGATTAGTCTGTTAATCTGAAACCATGTAATCATCTATGGTTTTAGATCTTTTCAACATTGTCAGAAGGGAAGTCACAAATAAATGCTTTCATATTGCAGTGTTTTTGTTAATAAATGCAAATGCGGTTTTGATTGAAAAAAACTGTGTATTGTGATTGTTGGGACTGTTAGATGCATCCATCTCAACAATAACAAATATTAGAGCTGCTAACTATATCATGTGACAACTGAGTTAAGATATTAATTTACTTGTCACTTATTAATTTTGGTCAATGATCTAGTAGCAATTCAATAATATATCACTGCATAGTGCATACATATGTCAAAGCTGTTTATTCTTATTTATTGAACAATAAATAGGATTTTTATTTATTTATGGATTTTCATTTATTTATTTAACTTTTTTGTATGCTTAAAATGCTTGGGAGGGAGCAAACCTAAGTAAGACATTAACTCGGGCAAGTGAGTGATTGTAGGAAGATTGTTTGTGTGTGTGTGTGTGTCTGGTGCCATAATGTTATTCAGACTTTGATCTTAGGAAAGTTGGAGTTAAAGTCAAAGAATTTCTCAGTTGGTCTCAGTGTTTTGTTGGTAATTATCCAGAGCTACAGACAGAACATCGCCAGAGCCAAGTGGAGAATCGCTACCCTAAAAGGTTCGTTTTAAACAAATCTACTATGTATTTTTTCATACAGTCTATCTGAGAGTTGTATAAAAGTTTTACTTGAATTTTCCCTTAAGCTTAGGCAAGTAAAGGATTAGTGTTTAATAATTTAGACTCTCTTTAACTGTATATGTGTGTGTACATATGATTGATTTCATTGATTTTGTGGTGCAGCAATGGATTTCATGAGGGAGAATTTCTCTGCTTTCATCCTAACAGCTCAGTAAAAAGGAATAAATTTTTAAAAATGCATGTCTTTTCTATCTATATAAGTACCATACAAAGGTGAGTATGCCATATGCTGTCAGGATTACCTTTTCACTTCTCCAATTTGTTATTTGTTGTTTATATCATTCAGGGCTGACTATAATGTCAGCGTACATCTCAGTGCTTGGTGTGGCAGTGTTGCTCCTCCACCTCTGGGGGACACTTTCTTTCCCCACCACTGCCTGTCCTGTTCCCTGCTTGTGCCAGCGCGGTCCTCTCCTGAACTGCTCTACTTTGGGTCTGACTGAGATTCCCACACGCATACCACCAACTGCGGTTTCCTTGAACATATCCAATAATGCCCTGCGTTCTCTGGCTCCTCTCAGCTTTGGTCATGTAAAATTGAAGGGACTTCTGCACCTTTGGGTGGGAAGTAATGCTCTGGAGAGCCTGTCTCTGATTTTGAAGAAGGACCGGTCAGGCACTAGGACCCTGTCAAGTGGAGAACAGGAATGCATGTCCTGGGCACCTGACCTTCAGTTGCTGTCTGCTGAAAGAAACCATCTAAAACATCTACCAAAGGGTATGTGCCACATGAGTATGTGATACACACTTTACCTTACAGCAATAGTAATTTATTCAGCACTCTTACTGTAAAAATAAAACAGTATCTCTGGCCTTCCTTTGACCTGAAAAGCATATTAAAATAAAACAGGAAATGATAGATAGATAGATAGATATTGATTGATTGATTGATTGATTGATTGATTAGGTGTCCAACTACTAAAAGCAATTAAATTAGCTTAAAATAGAATCCTACTTAAACTCATTTTATTATGTAAAATTCATAAAAACATTCTCCACCCTGTGGTAAATGACTGTGCTAAGTGGAACTTTGATCTGTTGCAATTGCACACTCTTCTGACCTGTTAAATTCCTTTTAAACCAGTCACAGGATCCTCCCTCAGCATGAGGTGAAAAGAAATCACCTGTGATTTAGTCACAAGGGTTGGGCGCTGGCATTCCTGTGCTTCATAACGGGCTGTAAAAGGGTAATAATGGTCTAAACACATTCCAGAGAATGAATTTCATAATGGCCTTGTATTTTGACCATCCTTCACATAAATGCGTACATTGAGTCCTAATGTGTCCAAAGGTGTCTTACAGTGCAGGACGGCTATTTGAGGTTTTGTAAGCTTAAAGCACTTCCCGATTTGTGTATTTATGCACTATTCTATGACATTTTGTAGTATAAATAGTGTGCGTATGTTCACACTCAAAATTCCAAAACGGAAAAGTGCACTTCAAATACCCAGATGACACACTTAATTAACCCCAAAAAAAAAAAAATGCACTCAACTGTCGTAGTTTTCCTTATAAGGGCTATCAGACACAGATTTTGGATGACAAAACCTACATAAATAGTGTACATAGTGTATAGTACTGTACACTATTTGGGACACAACTATAATGTGTTATATAGCCTATCTGCTGTAATGCAATTTAATCAGTATTGTTAGTTTGGATTATAATAAAAAACACCATTAAAATAGACAGCAAAAAGCATTTTGTTCAAATGTTTAGAGAAATTTAACTGGAGGTGTTGTAGAATGTTGGGGAACAGAAATCCAATTCAAACACTTACCATTCTCTTAGATTTGAATATTGTCTCTTATAGGGTTCATCTTAAATTTTGTTTCCGGTGCTATTCTAATGGGATGGCTAATTCTTTCATTTAATTTCTGAAATCCTGTTCCAGGATGTGATTACTAGCCAGTTGATAGGCAATTTTGGCAGGGTTTTAATGTTTCTGTGTCAGCCTTGAAACTTATTTTTTGTTTGAAATCCAAAGGGACTTGTTAACAAAGGCCAAGAATCAGATTTTAAATTGTGCTCTTAGCCTTAGCAGATCCCAATCCGGCCAGTCTGTAAGCACTGAAATAGATGGTGGCACCTCAATGTTTTTCAGCTCTTTGTGATTCAGAGCACAGCCTCAATGTTTCTCTCTGATAAACCCCTGTCCAGCAGACCCTCGTTTCAGCTCAGCAGTCAACATGGTTCTTAAAATAGGCAAGAGACTTCTCCATCTCTTCTCTGACAGAACCTTTGCAAGCCTTCCTCTCTAAATCAACTCAATTCTGTTTCTTTGTGCACAAGAACCTTTGTTATGTACTGGTTTGCATACTTTTTAATTATGACGTTTTCATTTAAATATTAAGACAAAAAATATTAGCCACTAATATGCAAATATTATTCGTTAATAATGAGAATACTATTACCAACATCTTGAGAGTAAAGTTCTGAAGTTATTCAAGCAGTGTTGCTGCAAGAACCTCCCTGATTTGAACAAGTGGTGATTCACGTGGCACTCCATAACTAATGCTAGGTTTTGAATTTACAGCCACAGATATTGGCACAAACAGATGGGGTCAAGGCAAGCTGTAACAGGTAGAGCTCAGATTTAAATCTGGGCGCAGCCAAACACTTAATTTATAGGACATCTATGAGCTATAGAGTTACTTTTCAGCCATCCACTGTTTTTCTCTTTTTAATGCATTATATTGCTTTGGATTTGAACTATTACAACAATGTATAACTGCAAAATGTCTGACTTTGCTAATTAATGATAAAAAATGCAACGCCTGTCAGTGACTCAAAGAATGCACTGATATGTAACTAGAAGCTAGTTTATCAGTGCATGGTTGTTAATCATTGCATTATGTTTACCTTTTGATATTCTGAATATACATATCGCTTTCAGGGCTGGTCTGCATGAAGTCTCTGCAGATTCTTCAGCTGTCATATAACCAGATATCTAAGATAGGTCTTACTGACCTGGACAACTGCATTCATTTGAAAGAGCTACATCTCCAGCATAACAGCATCATAAGCATTCACCCACAAGCTTTTATAGACCTAAAACAGCTGCAGGTAACATCTCATAACTGTTCAACTTATTTGAGTTTCATTTTAATACCTGCCACTAGCTATTGTAATCTTATCCTAAAGCGAAATAATTTTAAGAGCAATTTTACATGTTTGTGAGTGTGCTCCCCCTAGTGGCATGTCTTTTGACAGACTCTGTAGTTACTGCATAAATGAATTTACCTAACTCAGCATGCATTAAAACGTGGAAAACATTTTCACTGACTGACTAATTCCATCCAGGTCCTTGATCTGAGCTATAACCTGCTGGTCACCATTCCTGTTCCTGCTTACCAGTCCCTGCGAAACCTGAATGCCTTGGTCAATGTCTCCTTCAACAGATGGAAGTGTGACTGCAATTTGCAGACCTTGAGAAGATGGATTAGCTTTGATACTGAAATGGGAGATGCTTCCTGGCAAGTGGTATGCCTCTCTCCGCCACATCATGCTGGAAAAGATCTGCTTCACCTGAAGGATTCGGAGCTTACTTGTCCAACACATGAATCCAGCACATCTGGTCACTATCATAACATGATTGTGGACGAGGGGATGCAAATATCAATTCCTTGCAGCAATGACAGTCAAGGTGCTACTTCTGCTTACTTGTCTGTATCTTAACTGAAGTTATAAAACCACAGTCCAATTTACTGAACCAAGACATATTATTCAAAATGTTTTATTCATAACTTAAGCTATGTAACTCCTAAAATCCACATGTAATCAATGTAAATGCTAATGCACATTTAATAATGAAATTTCCTGTTATTTTTATTCTAGATATCATGCAGGTTCATTGGTGGACTCCACGTGGCCAAGTCACAGATAACCAACCAAAACTTCTAATTAGGGATATTACAGAGCAGCATGCAGGACTTTATGTATGCATTTCAGGTCTCCAAGGGGATCACATATCAGTATTTGATCTACATGTCTATAAAAAAGGCAGTGGCTCAAGACCACGTAGGGAAGCAGCAACCATCTTGGATCAGGAACAAAATAAAAACACACCAAGGAATGATCCTGTTGTACGGCAAACAAGGAGCCAGTCAAATGTTGTCCTTGCCGTCTGCCTCTCTGTAATCATTACATTTATTGTAGCCTTTATCCTAGGTGTTCTTTTGAGACCACTCTTAGACAAATTATGGAGGAGGATACGATCCAAGAGACAATCTACACCACCACCAACAACAACCTCCTCCACTGGGCCCCAGCCGTATGTGAATGAAGGGTACTGTGATGTAGAAGACCAAGAACGAGAAGTAAGAGTAGGTTCAAGAGTTACATTTAGTGGAATCACAGAAGTGGAAGATCAAGAGCCTTACTACGTTACAGTAGAGAATGATCAAGCCGATGGCTCCTCTGAGAGCAACACAGAAGTTGAGGCTTATGAGACCATTGAAAAATATAAATCCTCAATAACTGGGATACAGCAGGCCCTTGATATGGAGGTTCACAGAGGAAGAGCAGACAGCAGTAGTAGCAGCTCACTACAGGAAGGGGAAGTTAATTCTTTAGTCATAAATGGTAAGAAGCTACCACACTGCTCAACCGAAGACATGGAATTTGAGCCAATTCCAGATGCAGATGATATTACCCAGTTAAAGAGAAGGAGCAGTTCTTCAACATCATCTCAGTCAAGTCAGGAAGGTAACTTCTCAAGACAAACTGAACAAAGTGTTGACCCTCCTGCTGTCACTATATTGGCAAACAAAAACACAATAGGTAGAATTCCAGGATTTAGTACAGAGCCGTTTTCAGAATGGTCAAACAGACTGACAGAACAGAATGTTGATAATTTGGACCCAGAGTTGTGGAATGACAGTGGAGAAAGCTTTTCTTTCACTGAAGGCTCTGAAAGGTCAAGTATCCGGGATCTCTCCAGCTCTGCTTTAGGACACCCACTGAAGGATGATGACACATGGAGGCAAAGCAAAGTAGAATCACCTTCAGACAAAATAAACCTGGATTCAGAGGTTCTTGATTTCGACAAAACTTTTGGTAAAGAACTTCCTGTTGATGATGTAAAGCAGTTTGAGCTCTTTGACATAGTAAGCTCCTCTAATTCAAGTGAAAGTGGTGAAAGTGTAGGTGGACCAAACAATTATGTTGTAAACCCAGAGTTAATGGATGAATCCGACACAGAGAACTGTGCAAACTTGGCCACTTTAAAAAGATTTGAAGATGTCACCTTAAATAAAAGAATGCCTAGTGCTGGCATTCTTATAAGACAAGAGACTATCACTCTGGAGCCATCAGACAAACATTTGACACTTACTCATGGAGACAGTGTTGATGAGAGTATGCATATTTATGACTTCCCAAGAAAGAGTGAAGATGACAAATTTGGGATATGTGTAGATGTGGGTCTTGATACAGTGCCAAAGATTAAAAGGTATGTTGAATTTAAACAGTTCAAACCTAATTTTGGACCTCCAACTCTGCCATCATTTTCTCCTACCTCAACAAAGAACAACACCTTATCAGATATTGAAGTGAAATCTGAAGCTAACACTGATGCATTCTCTGGAGACAACAAATGCTTAACACAAATAGAGGTTTCTCCTGGTAGAATTCAAAAAGTGAAGAGATACATTCACTTCAAACAGCCTGAACCTCATTCCCCAACTCTGTCATCATCACCTTCCTTCACCAAAAAAGATGATATGCTGGAAGCAAAAAGTTATAGCTCATCCTCAGACGATGATGCTGAACTGACAACTAAAGGTGACAATTTTGATGTATCTTCTGATGGAGTTTCAAAAGTAAAAAGATATATTTTATTTAAACAGATTGAATCTTCTTCCCCAACTCTGTCAGTATCCAGACCTAAAACTGAGACCACAACTGAGCAAGCAATAAACTCTTTGCAACCAAGCACCACACCTAAAGATACAAGTCAAAATGTGAAGAAATACCTGTATATTAATCAGCATGAACAGCATTCCTCATCTCTGCCATCATCACCTACTTCTACCACGAAAGGTTTATCAGGAAAAAAGTCTAAACGCAAAAAACAACAAGATCAATCATACTATGGAAGTTATGATAGTCTGCCACTATACCATGTCCATCCTGTCTATAGGTCAAGTATAAACAGACTCAATAGAGGCTATGATACTGACAGATCGTCTTCCAGTGAAGAAGAGGATACATTTTTGGAGTACCCAACAAAATTAGAGATTACAATAGCACCTGGGGTAAACAGAGGACCCATCACAACAGACAAAGTCCTCAACATTGACTTTGATAACTCCTCCAGCAGCACAGATGTATTCGACAAGAAACGGTCTAAAGGTTTAATGAGATTAAGAGCATTAAGTGCACGACTGTTCAACAGACATGAACATGAACCAGATGAGGGGAATCTTCAATCACAAGTTCAAACTAAGTCAAAAACTAAGGTGACCACTAATGAAGATAATCTCTTTGGAAAAGGTTTATCCCTTGATCATTTACCAAAAGTGAAGAGATACCTTCAGTTTTCACACTCCGATTCCTATCCTCAAGTCCAATTACCATCTCCTCCACTAACCACTGAGGTAGTCATGCCTGAATTTGTAGCGACAACTGAGTCCAAGATATCTAGTTTCTCCTCTGAGGATGATGTCAAACAAACCACTGAAGATAAACATTTTGTTGGACAAGTTGATGCATCTTATGACACTCTTCCAAAAGTAAAAAGATATATTCAATTCTCAAACGCTGAACCTTGTTCGACAACACTGCCCTTGAACAAAGAAAGTATATCACCTGAACTAGTGGCACAACCCGAATCAAGGAGATCAAGTACATCATCTGATGATGATATCAAACTTACAACCAATGAAGACAGTCTCTTTAGGAAGATAGGTGTATCTCTCGATACAGTGCCGAATGTTAAAAGATACATTCAATTAAATCAGCCAAAACCTTACACTCCAACTCTAACATCTTCACCTATTTCAACCAAGAGGCCTGAGGCAGTAGTGGAGACAAGTTCCAGCAAATCTGTCAAGTTGGATGACAAATCTGATGCTACAGAAAACAATTTTTGGGGGCAAATAAATCTTGATGCGGTATCAAAGGTTAAGCGATATGTTCAATTTACACAGTCCAAACATCATTCTCAAGCTCTGCCGTCAGTTTCATCCTCTACAAAAGTCACAATTGATATGGCAGTGAAACCTGAAGCTACAATTGACAGATCCTCTGGAGACCAGGGTTATTTAATGCAAACAGAGGTATCTCCTGAAAATATTCAAAAAGTGAAAAGATACATTCACTTCAAGCAGTCTGAACCTCATTCCACAACTCTGCCATCACCACCTTCCTTAACTATGAAAGATGCTATACAGGAAACAAGGAGATGTAGCTCATCATCAGATGATGATCAACTGACAACCAAGGAAGACAATTTCTTCAGGAAAATAGGTGCATCTTCTGATGGAGTATCAAAAGTAAAAAGATTCATCACGTTTAAAGAGTCTAAACCTTCTTCCCCAACACTATCAATATCCAGTCCTACTGTCACAACTGAGGCAGTAAAGTCTATGCTCACTAGCACCTCTAAAGATGATGTCAGATCTCAGAATGACAGTGATCATTTCTTTGGTAAAATAGATGTATCTTTCGATGGTGTGCCAAAAGTAAAGCAATATCTTAAGTTTAAGGAGACTGAACTTCCTCCACAACACATTCAGTCAACATCTTCACCTTCAACCTCAGGAGTAGTTAAACAAGGGAAAGTGGAAAGCGAATTCTTTGGAGAAATCGGTATTTCTCTTGATAGAGTACCACAAGTAAAGAGATATATTCAATTTAAACAGCCTGTATCTCATCTTCCAGTAGTGTCACCCACCACTTCAAATACACTGCAAGTCAAAACTGAGGTGAAAACCAAATCTGAAGCAAAGAGATCGAGTACTTCTTCTGAGGATGATGTCAAACAAACAGCCAATGTCTCTGGACAAACAGGTTCTCTTGATAGGGTACCAATAGTTAAAAGATACATTCAATTCACACATCCTGAAATTCAATCTCCAGCTCAGACAACAACTGGTCTCTCATCTGAAAGAGTCAATGTAACTATTGTAGCTAAAGAAAAAAGGAGATGGAGCACTTCATCTGAGGAAGATGTTAAACCGACTAGTAAAACAGAGAATATCACTGAAGAAACGAGTGAATATCTTGCCAAAATCCCCAAAGTAAAGAGGTACATTAAGTTCACACAATCTAAACCATACTCCTCAAATCTGTCACAATTTCGTCCTTTAACCATGGAAAAATCCACAAGGTTTACGGAAACTGAACTGAAACAACCAGCCACTAGGGAGAGCACTTCATCTGAGGATGATGTTCAGGAAGACAATGGCTCTGGGAAAATAGGAGTGTCTCTTAACGTAGTACCAAGAGTTAAGAGATACATTCAATTCACACATCCTGAAAGTCAATCCCCTGCTCAGTCAACATCTGCTGTCTCAGCTCAAAGTCTTGGAACATTGGGGGTAGTTCATGACACAAGGAGATCAAGCACTTCATCTGAGGAAGATGTCACACTAAGTGCTAAGGAAGACAATGTCTTTGGACATACTGGAGCATCTCTTGACAAATTTCCAAAGGTTAAGAGATATATTCAATTCACAAAGTGTGTAAGTGAACCTCTTGTTCAGACAACAACTGCTCTCTCAGCTAATAGACTTGGGATATCTGGGGTTGTTCAAGAAACAAGGAAATCAATTACTTCATCTGATGATGATGTTGAGCTATCTACTCATAATGATGATGTGTTTAAACAAAGAGGTGAATCTTTTGACAAAATCCCTAAAGTAAAGAGGTACATTGAATTCACACAATATGAACCTTATTCCTCTGCAGAGTCAAAACTTCCATCTTCAAGTGTTGCTAAATCCATAAAGGTGACAGCAACAGAATTAAGGGGATCCAGCACTTCAGTTAAAGATTATGTACAACCATCTACTAATGCAAAAAAACCAGCATCAAAGACACAGATCACTTCATCTGAAAATCTTGACAGAGTACCGAGAGTTAAGAGATACATTCAATTCACACCTATTGAAAGTCTATATCCTGCTCGGGCATCAACTGCTGTCTTAGCTGAAAGCGTTGGAATATCAGGGGTAGCTCAAGAAACAAAGATATCGAGCACTTCAGCTGTTAAACCATCTGCTAATATAATTGGAAATTCAGACAAAAATTTATTTCAAGAAACTGGTGTATCTCTTGATAAAATCCCAAAGGTAAAGAGGTACATTGCATTCACAAAGAGTGAACCATCTTCTGTACCAACCAAATTAATGAAAAGAGCTTTAACACCTACAACAAATACAGACTTTGAAACCACATGGTCCAGTTTATTATCTGAGGTGTCACCTCCTGCCTCAATGAAAAAAGGTTCTGCATTAATAATAAAGACCCAATCAGAATCATGGACCTCTGAGTTTACTTCAAAGGACAACATGAAAGGAGAGCTTATGGACAGTTCAGTAGAACAGACTGGCCTGAAGTCAAAGGTAAAGAAGTCAAGTTCCTCATCCAGTGACGAACACTCTGTAGGACATGAGGTTGTGGATGTGGATGTAAAAGCACCACAAGATGAGCCACCAGCAGGTTCACAGACATCGCCACCTCCCCTAGAACAGGAGGGTGCCAGAGAGTATCTCAGAGAGAATTCTGAAATCCGTCAAAGGCAAGAACGCAGAAGATTACAGCAGCAAAGGAGAAGGGAAATGGATGAGTTCAACATTGTATCCCTATCCTCCATTCAACAAGGCAACCAGCAGTATAGCTCACCAGCAGATTATGGAGAAGTGCCACCATTCCAAACAGAACATATTTACAGCAGTGTTTCTACAAGGAACACATTAACTTCCAGACACGCAGAAGGAGCCCAAGCCCCAGTTTTACAGAGCCTTAAAACTAAGAGTGCATCAACACTTGGTTCCAAGTCAACTCCAAAGTATAGGGAATATTTAATTTAGCTAGAGTTCATTTTGACTCACCAGACAAACAATGTTGTGTGATTTTGTGCTGATGCTTTCAAAATCACAGCTTTTGAGGATGGGGATTTGCTTTTTACTAAGTATTGTAAATACTGTTATATAACTATGAACATAACCTAAACTTCAGTATTTCATAAGTTCTGTTCTTTTTGCATTGAAACAATGTATGAAGGTACATAAGAATGTGTATTGTCTAAGAATATAAACACGGTATTGATTTTATCAGTCATGATGTGCAGTACTACAAAAAATCCAGAGGCTATTAACTGCACTCAATGACAACACATTATATCCATTAATGAGGCAATAAACTTTCTTCGTCCCTTTTATTAAATCTTAATGGTTTTTGTTGAATACTAGCTTTCCTGCAATCAGGGGGAAGGTCTCAGCATGACTTCAGCATAGTTGTTAGTCTAAGTCTTCCATCCCTTTATCTAAAACAAATAAAAACGACTCCATTTCGTTAATAAACCCCTTTATATATATTGAATGTAGAGAGGCTACGGTGAAAACAAACACATATACACACACATCCATACATATATACAGTCAGATGAGAATGCTCAGCCCTCTGCATTACATACTCCCCCAACAAAAGCAACAGTCATAACAACACAGGGAACTTGTCTATCTGTTGAAATAATGAATTTTAAAACAACTATTTCCCTCAGGCACAAACAGGTGCAGATGAATGGGATTATAACAAGTGTCTGTAGACATTTTTCAAATGGATTCTGGCGAGCATGCGCAGCATACATAGACTGTTGGCTTCTTAGATGCTGGGTGAATACTTGATAAATAATTTATGATGAGCAACCTTCATCTTTCAGAAAATTATAAAATAAAACAAAAATATCTTGTAACCAGAAAAGAAATTGTTACCCTAAGCTTCAATAAAGTTAATGATTTTGTCTGTCTCTGTATGACATGAACATAAAATTAATATGTTTACATGGAACTGCAGATACTGTATACTGAAATGCTGCAGTCAATTATGTACATGGTAGTTTAGCACTTGGAGATGGTGGAGAAGGCAATGCAGAGAAGAACATCTCAACAGATGAGGTTACAAGTGTGTTTAAGCTCTAGATACCATCACACAATCATGTTTTTCATAAAGCGTTAAGACTGCATGACCGCGGATACCCAAATTAAGCACAAAAAAAAGTCCACTTCTACAAATACCTGTACAAAAAAAAGAAACAAGAGCAAAAAAAAGTACAAAAAGAAAAAACCTCATTCATTCACAAAGACGGCTCTAATTGCAGAATGCATGCATGCATTTTTTTTCTTGTTCAGATGACAAGTTAGCTTCATGCCACAGCCATAGACAAAACTCAACAGTTTTACAAACATAACTAGAATGTTAAATAGTTGCTAGGCATTGGTCACTATGGGTTAAGGTGATCGCATTTTACCACAAGATCTGTGGAAGAGGATGTGGCCAAAGGAGTGTCAGTGTTTAGGGCAGGATACCGGTTTTTATATTTTTGTGGCAATTCATCACAGAAATCAAAAAAGTGCACTTTAACAGCTTTCTCTCGTCGTCTCTCCCTTAGATCCACGTCCTGTCATTTTAACCGTGACATGCACAGTATAGTTACACTGCAAAGGAATCAAATGATATAGTGAATGCATTCCACAGTCACTTTAACCTTACACTCCTCTACAAGATGGCCATATCTTGCCATTGCAGTGCGAATACACAATGGTCATGCGAGCCAAGAAAAAGTTTCCTGACTCTACGCTCATGATAAGTATAACCCACTGTTCTTCATGTTGTGAACAGTAAAGCTGTTCTTGTTGATCTCATAATCAATATCAAGAATGTAAGTGGTGAAAGGTATACTGATACAACACCACTGGAAGTACTTACAGCACAATGTCTATGACACTTGCATGTGGTGCGCTTTATTAAATGGCATCCAAGTGCAGCGAGACTGGTAAAAATAAAACTTATGGCAAAGGTCGCTGTGTATCTATGGTAACATGCTCTGACTGTCAGCATCCTCCAACATAAAAACCGTAGTAAAGTGTTTGGACCACCATCAGCAGAGCAACACTGTAAGCGATTTCCATTTTGAACCTTAGTAATAAGTCACTGACCTTCAGTAAAAAGCCAAGCAGGTTCTTCTTTTTCCTTTACTTCCAGGCCTAAATTACCTAAACTTCAGACAGTATGGGAATTTTTACCTATCCTGCCTTGTGGAGAATCCAAATTCATCCTCCTTATAAGAGCCTATTGAAACATTCACAGCAATATGAAACATCACAGTGGGGTGGGAAGGCAGCACCAAGACTGGCCGTGTGCTTACCCACAATGCATTGTGGGCTATGGGGGACATTAGGTGGAGTCGGTGAGGTGCTGTTTCTCCAACACACAACCACCAGTGACCCTCCTATGGCCCCGGCAAAAAGGGCGACATACAAACATGTGCATTGATAATTACATTCTATGCAAACACTCACACACTCAAGCCCTCAGCGCCAGGGGCCACCATCAGTCTGTCCCAAACACTTCAGTTTTGATTTGTACTTTGTTTTCTAGATGTTTGTATCAAAGCCGTTTCTGTCGTCATTGTCATGGTGATTGTTGGCGATTAGTTGGTCTATCTAGTTGGTGATGGTGGTAGGCATGGGGAAGTTGTCGCTACGACATCTCTCGGTCTTTATACCACTCCACAAACTCATCCAAAAGCACTGGCCCTGAGGAAAGAGGAAAAATGAGTCGAAAGACAAATCTGATGTACTTCCAGCTGCATTGTACAAAAGAATGATGGATGTCTAAATTGGGGTGTGATTAGAAGAAGTATGTTTAGGTGTGAGTGCTTGTACTCACAGGCCCCGTCCTCATCATAGTTACTGAGATCAAGGTTGATAGTCCTACTGAATTCTAGAACATTGCACCATTGATCTTTATTTATAACCTTATACTTAGATTGCTGTGAAAAAAAGGGAAAATGTCAAAAACTTCACAGACTTAAAATTAAACTTAAAGACAATATGTACTGATGCGCATATATCTGTATAAACAACCAGTCAAATATTTGTACTCATTAAATTAACTGAACTTGGTCTTAAAAAACCTTTTGATTTAAAGATTTATGGTGAATTTGATTTTTCAGACAAACACAAAATTGTGGCTTCATGTTGAAATTTTTTTTTTTTTTAAAGGAATAGTTCACCCAAAAATGAAAATTTAGTCATTATTTACTCACACTCATGTCATTCCAAACATGTATGAGCTTCTTTCTCATGTTAAACATAAAATAATATATTCTGAAGAATGCTGGTAATCAAACAGTTGATGGTCCCAGTTGACTTTCATAGTATTTCTTTCCCTGCTATGGAAGTCAATGGGGACCAACAACTGTTTGGTTCTTCAAAATTCTACAAAATAACTTTGTGTTCAACATAAGAAAGAAACTTATACAGCTTTGGAACAACATCAGAGCGAGTAAATGACATAATTTTCATTTTTGGGTGAACTAGCCTGTTCCTTTAAAGGATAAGTTGGAACAAAAAAAAGCAGCCATTACAAATGATCAGTATACATGTGAACTCTCTCTCAGTACTGTTTCAAAAGCATCGCATGATGTATTAAGTTGGATGACCATCAAATATATGCTCAAATATTTTTTTATTAGTTTGTCCATTGTTATTTGTATGACTTTAAAGGGATAAATCAAGTGAAATGTCAACATTTATCATTGGTAACCAAAACTGTTTGGTTACCAACATTCTTCAATATATCTTCTTTTATGTTCTACAGAAAAAAAGGTCATACAGTTTTGGGTCAACATCAGGTTGAGTAAATGATGACAGAACGTTAATTTTTGATTCAACTTTCCCTTTAATAATAATAATAATAATAATAATAATAATGAGTAGAAATAATGGATATGAAGGCGTGTTCAATCATTTGACTGGCCATATAAAATAATTGAAGAGACACTGATAGACTGTAAAGATTAAAGTATTTACTTCTAGAAACTGGTTAAACACTGGAAACAATGGCCAGGTCTTCCCAAGCAGAAGTCCCAGCATGCACTTGGCGGTATTCAAGTCTAAACTCCTCTGATCCTTCTCCTACAAAGGGGTCTGTTTGGTTCTTCAAAATTCTACAAAATAACTTTGTGTTCAACATAAGAAAGAAACTTATACAGCTTTGGAACAACATCAGAGTGAGTAAATGACATAATTTTCATTTTTGGGTGAACTAGCCTGTTCCTTTAAAGGATAAGTTGGAACAAAAAAAAGCAGCCATTACAAATGATCAGTATACATGTGAACTCTCTCTCAGTACTGTTTCAAAAGCATCGCATGATGTATTAAGTTGGATGACCATCAAATATATGCTCAAATATTTTTTTATTAGTTTGTCCATTGTTATTTGTATGACTTTAAAGGGATAAATCAAGTGAAATGTCAACATTTACTGAGCCTTGTGTTGTTCTAAAACTGTATGACTTTCTTGCTTTTTGGTGAAAGAAGTGTTTTTGTTGTTGGGTTTTTTTTTGTGTCTATACCAGGGGTAGGCAAGTTCGGTCCTAGAGAGCCGCAGTCCTGCAGAGTTCAGCTCCAACCCTGAAAAAAAAAAAACTCACTAGTCTGTAGCCTTAGTAATCCTGAAGACCTTGATTGTTCAGGTGTGTTTGATTAGGGTTAGAGCTAAACTCTGCAGGACAGCGGCACATAATAATGAGTAGAAATAATGGATATGAAGGCGTGTTCAATCATTTGACTGGCCATATAAAATAATTGAAGAGACACTGATAGACTGTAAAGATTAAAGTATTTACTTCTAGAAACTGGTTAAACACTGGAAACAATGGCCAGGTCTTCCCAAGCAGAAGTCCCAGCATGCACTTGGCGGTATTCAAGTCTAAACTCCTCTGATCCTTCTCCTACAAAGGGGTGGAAGCATATTAAAGTTTAAAGAGTTTGAATACAAGTTCACACATCACAATAAAAATACTTAGTTGGCAATTATGGTGGTGACTGAGGTGACAATCTGTAAATGACCCATTATTGCCAAGGTACTTAAAACCAGGTTGCTTCGCTTTGGAATTAAGTGTACTGTGTACTCTATATACTCAGAAGAACTTGAACATATGATAATACAACCACCTGAAGGCAGACATGATTATTGTCCCTGCACCTTGATAAGCAAAAATAGATATTAATGTCTCTAACTGCCATAATATGTTACTAGTGCACAATAAAGGACTAAATGCTCTATTCAAGATGAGTCCAGACATGAACAATTCTGTTTCATCTAGACAAGATGAATGTCATGTTATCCATTCAAGGTTGCCACAAGCTATTTATTTGTACTCCTCCACTTTATTGGCCCTATCGAATGGCTCCAGTAAGAGCTTCACTCAGCAAAGGTCCAGTCGCTTTACAATTCATACCAAGGGAGTGAAAAAAACAACTACTGGACAAGAGATACTTCTGCTGAGCAGACAAAGAGGTAAAACAACCCAAAATAGCACCATTTCTCAGCAGTCTCAAGCCCTTGTCTGCTGTAACTGAAGGACTGTGAAGCATGCACGCAGGGAAAGAAAAAAAACACAGAACGGTTCCAGATGCACAGCCACTGGCAAAACCAAATATAGTGTTGATGTATTAAAAGAAGGCCAGAGCTTCTAAAGTGAACAGTGATTAATGTTCATCAATCATCTGTCCTAATGCATATACACAGTCACTCCTACCCTGGCAAAGTCGAAGGCATATCGGTAAATGAGCTTGAAACTGGTGGCATCATTGAGGACAGACCTCAGGTAGTCTAGAGAGTTCCTGAGTTTTTCAGTAGAGTCACATCTGCATATGACAGAAGAAGAGGAAAAGTGAAGGTTGAGATGAGAATAAGTGTAGTAGCATGGTAGTAGATGCATTTAAGTTCCATGTTTTGCCAGACATACTGCAATGAGCCCATTCCCTTGAGCCACTCCTGTAAAGTGAAGTAACCCATACTCTGGGCATCAAGCTTCCAGGCCAATACCAGCATCACTACCTGCGAACAAACATACATTAAAGGGTTAGTTCACCCAAAAATGAAAATTCTGTCATTAATTACTCACCCTTGTGTTGTTCCAAACCCGTACGACCTTCGTTCATCTTTGGAACACAATTTAAGATATTTTTGATGAAATATGAGGCCTCTCTGACCCTCCCATAGACAGCAAGGTAACTACCATGTCTAATGACAAGATATTTTTTAGAGTAAACTATGAAATCATATTAGATCAGGTTAGTTCTTACATTCTCTGGCTCCACTCCAATGTCTTCACAGAATTTCTCCATCCCCTCTGGTCCAACAACGTCATCGCACCCTATTTACACAACATATTAAAACACAATTTACTATTATATACAGGTGCATCTCAATAAATTAGAATGTCGTGGATAAGTTAATTTATTTCAGTAATTCAACTCAAATTGTGAAACTCGTGTATTAAATAAATTCAATGCACACAGACTGAAGTAGTTTAAGTCTTTGGTTCTTTTAATGGTGATCAGTTTGTGGCACTGCTGAGGTGGTATGAAAGCCCCGGTTTCTTTGACAGTGGCCTTCAGCTCATCTGCATTTTTGGTCTCTTGTTTCTCATTTTCCTCTTGACAATACCCCATAGATTCTCTATGGGGTTCAGGTCTGGTGAGTTTGCTGGCCAGTCAAGCACACCAACACCATGGTCATTTAACCAACTTTTGGTGCTTTTGGCAGTGTGGGCAGGTGCCAAATCCTGCTGGAAAATGAAATCAGCATCTTCAAAAAACTGGTCAGCAGAAGGAAGCATGAAGTGCTCAAATTTCTTGGTAAACGGGTGCAGTGACATTGGTTTTCAAAAAACACAATGGACCAACACAAGCAGATGACATTGCACCCCAAATCACAGACTGTGGAAACTAATTAACTTATCCACGACATTCTAATTTATTGAGATGCACCTGTACAGTGGCCCCAAAAAGTGTTTAGACAATTAAGCCACAATTAAAACTGCATAAATGTCTTTACACAAGCACAATTCAATCAAAACATTTTACAAGTTTGTTAACTTAGGTTTCAAAATATGAAGCAATAGGTATACCGTTTAAAATAAAATAAAAAAGTCTTGGACACTTTCTAGTTGTCAAATTTCTGTGGAACATGTTCATTTTAATGTGCCAGGGTACTTTGAACTTAATAGGAACTGACTTTATATATTCACAAAAAAGAATGACAGACCAATTGGTTATAAATAATTGAAAAAGTGAAGTTCGTCCTAAGAAAAGCATTTTTTTCTTTTCAGATGCCACTTGGTTTGATATTTTTTTATCTTTATATTTGATATTTTGCATGCAATGAAATTCAGACATTTTTAAGTGTGACTTAAGTTTCCAAATACATGTTAGTATATACTTATAGTCATTCTATTTACATCTTAACTTCATTTGGAAAGTGTCTGAAGCCACAAGGATAGAATTCTGAATCCAAAAAAGCCTACATTTAGCTGACATTATTCACTGCCTTCTAGACAATATCAAGTCAAATTATATAAGCTTACCAGATTCTGATGTGATTATACTCTTTTTAAGACCTTACTAATAAAATCAAAGAGATATACATTTGCAACAGTTCATAGTATTGTGACAAACTCAATATGACTACAAACGGGTTGCCCACGTACCTGCATATTCGTAGAACCATTCTAGACATCTCTTGCTAGAAAAGGCTTCGGCTTCCTGGATTTGCAATGTCTCCTGTTTTCTGTAAACACTGAAATGAATAGACAAGGACTGAGCGGAGGCTATTTACATACACATTAACACACACTTGTATACACATTAAAGCACGAACGTGCTACATCTGATACAAACAAGAAGAGACACTAGGCTTGCCGCGATAGACGGTGCTGACGGTGATACCGTTGTTAAGCCGCAACACCGGTTACGTCACTTGCCCACCGCGGCACCGACCCCCACTGTCGTTTTGATTTTTTTTATAGTAATAAAAATCATTTAGTTCAGTAAAAGGACAGACACTACAATTAAAAACTGAACGCGGCTGCTCAATGCAGCGTGCTGAACGACAGTCGCATCACAGATCAGATTTCATTTATCCAGTGAGGAGAGTGAGTCGAGCTGACTGACAAGAAGAGTGAGGTGAGAAAGACAAGACGATGGCAGATGATTTAGTTTCGAAACGCAATGCAAAAGCGCCTGTTTGGCAGTATTTTGGATTTTGAAAAGCCTGTTGACTTTTGCCGTTTATCTAAGGAGATTTTGAAAGTGTTTTTAAACATTTGTTTCTTATTTAATTGGTTCCACAGTGTTTGCTGATTTTTACTTTATTTAAACTTTGTATAATTCATTTATTTTATTTGACATCAAGGTGTATGCCGTACCTCCAAGCTTTCTTATTCGTTTTGCTAATAAACTTTCTACGTTTCTTATTTATTTGGTTATATATTATACATGTTTACTTGTTTCCAGTTTTGTATACCTATTTAAACTTTATGCAAGTTATTTGTTATTTTATATTAGGCATAGCCTGCCCTATAGCATGGTGTATTTTTATTCATTTTGTTAATAAAAGTTCTATGTTTTATATATAGGCTAAAGTGAGTTTGACGTTGTATTTTGTTGTTGCAGTCAAGCAATTGACGCCGAATTGCCGCTAATTCAAAACACAGCACAGTGCTTTTAACCTATTTAAAAGCGAAGGAATGTGAGGAAAAGAGGGAAAATTCAAACGAACTAAAAACGAACGAACTAAAAACGAATCGCTTTATGCCGAATTGCCGCTATTTGAGAGTGAAAGTAAAATGCACACGCCGCTTTTGCAAGCTATTTAAAAGTGAAGGAAAGCGAGGAAAAGAGGAAACGCCCCTACCCCCACGGTAATACCGGTATTATCGGTGTTGTCACACATCGATTAACCGGTGGGAAAATTTCCTCACCGTCACAACCCTAAGAGACACATGCTCTGAGGGCAGAAATCCACCCACACAAAGCGATCTGATGGTACAATTAACAGTTATGATAATCTCAACTTTCTTTTGACATTATTTTATTATAACAACATTCAGCTCCTTCTGTGCATAAATACAGAATTTCTTAATTGACATACTTTAACAGACAACTAGTTTAGTTGTTAATCAAGAAGTTAGATAGATGGATAAGCGTGTATGTTTGAGTGAATTAAAGGAAAGTCAACGGACACATGGAATGGACAGAGATGAAGGGCTGGAGAGATGGATGGATGAATGTTTTGAGCATACTTATCCTGCCGGCTCTTCTTAGCAGACAGGTCATCTCCAGCAGTGGGTCTCCTCTTTTTCCTGGGGGGCATGGCTCTGGAGCAGCAGGCTGGAAAAGAGAGACAAACACGACACAAAAGATGACGATTATTTTTTATTTATTGTTTCAGTCATTCCCTCCCTTAAACCAATGAGATGTCCTCATTTAATTTGCTTAAGATGGCCTGCATGTTTTCAGGACTGTTTGATGAATAGAAAGTTCAAAGGAACCCAATTTATTTGATACAGAAATCTTTTGTAACATTATAAATGACTTTGCTGTTATTTACGATCAATTTAATGTATCCCTGCTGAATAAAAGCATTAAAACCTTACCGACTCCAAAATTTTTAGTGTAGAAAAAAAAGATACATATGATGTAAGTTTCCAGAATGAAGTACCATTTAAAAAAATTATGTTTGATATTAGTTGATAAGGTTATGCAGGGATGGAGGAGCATGCAAGGTCAGATTTAAGGTCACTACCTGTACCGTGAGTCTCTGGGCTGACGTCTTCAGTCAGGTTCTATGGGTGAAAAAGAAACACCCACAATCACTCTTTCTCTCTCCTACTCAAACAACATTCTGCAGCAGAGTAGCAGCTATTAGCATCTCACCATAAAAAAAGAAAGTAAGCATGTGTATGTGTGTGATGTAGGTGGCTGATCGTCTTATTTTCTTGTAACCTTTACAGATGCTGCCTGTGCTCTTCTCGGAGAGGAAATAAGCTAATGTAGAGCAAAATTCTGTGTGAATCAGGGTTATGAGGGTAGTTATTTAAGTAAATGATTTGATCAAAGGTTAGTTTGTGGTATGTAATAATGCTGTTGAGTGTCCTAACCTCACATATAGCCAAACACTGCTATCCCATAATGCTAATCTACCAAGACAAGCAACACTGACCAGTCCAGCACTGTCAGCTTTTGCATTAATCTCAATATAAGAACCACAACTGTCCTATAACCAGGGAATAGAGGTTTATGGCCTGGTCTAATAATATCTAATAATATTCACACAACAATATCTGCTGTCATCACAGTTGCAAAATTCTGCATGCAATTATATATATATGTATATATAGTAAGTTTTTTGTCAGAAATATTTTACATCTTGATTATGCTATTGTACCAAATACAGTGTACCAAAAGATGTCTAAAATATCTGCATGAACGACCTAAGGTTTTCTCTTTTAAAAGTCATGTTTGAAGACAGTTTGAAGGCTGACAAATCAGACAAATGTCCAAGTGCTTTTCAAATCGTAATCATAATCACAAACCTTTATTCGCTGGATTCAACTATAGCAAAGAATAAATCTAATATTTCAAAGAGTTTGATGCATGCATTTTCTAATTGCTTCACTTAATAAACAACACAGAAATCAGTCTTGATACACTGGTTCCTGCATTTCGGTAAGGACCTTAAAGCAAGCATGTTTTGAATAAAACTGAATACTTTGTTGATTTTAGGTTGGTTTATTGGCCTACCTGCCAGAATCACACTGAAAAAAAAGAATCAATCATCTAGTGATGAACTATATGAAAACGTGCACAAATCCCACCTATATAAATGCTCTTGGTTTAAATTATTTAAAGGCATGAATGTTAAATCTGGCAATAAAGCTGATGAGTATTTAAGTGCATGCAAACTGAGTCTATATTTACCAGCCTGTGCAGGGTGTGGTAGATCTTGTGGATACTGGCCAGTGTGGACAAATGAGAGTTCAGCTGGAAATCTGTGAGGGACATATAAAAATAAACATCTGTTACTCCTGGCAGTTATGTACAAGCATCTGGGCAATACATGGGTTTCTGTGTGTTGCTTGTTGTGGTGTGTATATATGTTCGCACTGCAGTGTCTTCAGTTTATACGTTGAAATTTTTGAGGACATGGGAAAGAAGCATCTGCTCCAGTCAGCCTGTAAAATGACAGGGAAATATGATAGGCCATGTGAGATTCTGAAGTGTTTCTAATAGGCTAATGCATACAAGTATGCATTTAACTGCTCTATGTGTCTTCATTATGAATATAGCCGGCTACTGACACTGTCATCCATAATCTTTATATTGTCAAGTATGGTTTCATCAAGAAAGTAAATGCCAGTGTGGAGGCCATATTTCTCTAGCATGTTAATATCAGGTCCTAGCGAATTTGTGAAAAAAAGATTTGGGATTAGATATATTTAAGAATAAATATGCACAGAGAGCCAAGTACAGATTGAAACAGGTTTACAAGGATATACTTAACACCAGTTGGACAAAAGGTACACAGCAATATTCCATAAGCTTGTAGTTGTAACCCAATACTTCAGAAGATGCATTAATTCATTGTATGTGATCATGTGATGAAATTTAATTGTTTTCAAATAAAGTCAGTAATGCCAATTCCCTTTGGATCTTCAATTTACCTTTAGATCCACAGTTTTTCATTCAGGGTATTCTTCAAGATAATATAGCCTAAATATCAAAAATGATATTCAGATATGAATAGATGTGCATTGTGAAAGGTCAATGGCATATTTTTAAAGGTCCACTATACCTCAGTGTATAAGAATTGTCCTCATGCAGTGCAATGGAACGAAATATCATATTCTAAAGCATAAAGAAGCTCTAAGTGCATGGATCTTATTTTCATTTGTTATAATGAAATTAATAACATGGTGAAGGTGGATCAGACACCAATGTGTATAGTAATCCCTTCTATACTATAAATGCTTGCTGCTTATATTTGATGTAACTTTTATTTCATTAACTTTACTTGTTTTGATGTTTGTTTTCAAATAATATGAATAATAAATGATTTGGTATTTATTAGACAGTTTTTGAAACAGGGTTGAAAACTCGGTTAGTATTATGAATTTTTAGAGAAATTAAAGACCGAGGTAGCAATGTGAAAAACGACATAAGCATTATGATTCATTTTGCACACACTATAAACTTCCACGTTCTCGTTATTCAGATCTAGAAAATTACGTATCGGTGCAGGCCTTTCTGTACAAGCGATGTGCGAGTAGACAAGCCCCTGAACCAACATTAAATTCAGAGTTGATGAAAGGTATCCAATTTAAACATAGTTCGGTGTATAATCCAGGACCTTATTAAAGCAAACTCGACGTAAAATTAGACTATTTGTGAACGTGTGACGCAGTTGTTGTCAGGAATGCCAGTGGATATGAAATACCCCAAACATGTAAGAAACAGTATTAAGTCGAATTCACACCAACACATTTCAAACATTCATATCTCTATAATTGCCTGCAGTTGAAAATAGGATTTTCTGCCACATAACGTTAGTTCACATATGAGTGTATACACGCACAACTTGCAACGACTTTACAAAGTATCTGGAGAGTCTGTGGACTTCTGGGGAATGTAGTCTAATGGCAAACAACGCCTGTGTTTGCCAATCAAATGGTTCGGCTGAATAAACCACATTTCCCAGAATTCCTCAAATCATAATTTCAATCGGTACTCTCCCCAACTGATGAATGCGACCCAAATGGTGCAAAAAAGATTTTTTGTCTTTGATCAGACATTTCTTTCACAACGATATGCAGTTGATCTTTCAGAGGGACGTACAGTAATGCGCCAGATCATACTCGACGTGTTTGCAAGCACTAATATTTTACACAACTGCGTCACAATTTTTACCCCTGTCATTTTTCCGCAGTTTTCTCGAAAAAAACCGACCCGTTTAGCTCTAAAAAGCAATCTTTCACTTGCTCTTTGGTTGGTTTGCACTGCTCACTCGAGTTGTGAGGAGATTGATCCCTTAAGGTAATTTGGGTATTAAAGGTAATTAGTGTACAAGTGTATTGTGTAAATAGGATCAGATACCTTGCTCTCGGATTGCTGTATATATTAAAGCAAAGGCTAAAATGCAGCGTTATTCCTTGCAAGGTCGTTGTCGCTTGCAAGCGCCCAAGACATCGGAGTAAAAACACAAAGAGAGCAGCTAGCAAGCTCAGAGTCAATCTGATGATTTGTATGCTCGGGTAACGGCTACTTTACTCACAAAATGCGTCAATACAGCGAATCATGCATCTTAAAAGAAGTCACGGCGACTTGTCAGGGTGCAGCAAGTTCGCAATTGCCACCACAGGTCGACAGAATACGAATAGCAGTGAAAACGTACTATTGTACTTACTTGACGCATCTGAGTGCATTTTTATGAAGCACACAACTGTATTTGTGTGAGTCTGCAGACCGGTCAGTGGGCGGGACATGTCAATATTATACATGCCCACAAATGATTTAGATGGACGAAATTTTCAGTCGCCACGCCCACTCGTGCCAATCATTGGTCGAGAGGAGTGTCAAATACATTGCGCAAGTAACACTGTGTTCCTCCCGCCTCTAAACCAACGTGATTGGTTGAAACGCTTCCATAGCCCCTCCTCTCAACGCACATGATTGGCTGAGAAGTATGTCTACACCCATCAGTTACGATAGTTTCCTCGTGCATAGCAGAAAGCCAGCCCACGATGATACGCTATTGGCTCAGCTGTGCACCAACACAGAGCCCACTTGGGTTAACAAAACAATGGTGAGAGAATACAGTGAAAAGCATTACTGAACGAGGTTGCTTTTGCTGCGCTAATGTCATCCAGACATTTCTATGAAAAGTTTTAAAAGTAAATGAAAAACATCACAATGAGCAGGAGCCCTATAGGAATCACAATTATGTTAGCCATTGTGATTAAAGGGGTTGTTCACACCCAAAGATCATCATCATCTGTTTCTAATGTTGTTTGGAACCAGTATTTATGTGTTGACCATAAAAGATGATGTTGCTCCAGTCACCATTCACTTTCAATGTATTCACTGGCAATATACAAAAAGGGCAAATGGTGAATCATCTATTTGTGTATGCTATATGCAGGGTATTTCAGTAAAACATACCCTGTGCTTAGTGTTATGGTATTTGATCTACACAAAATCTTAATAGCCTATACTGAGATTGCTGTTATAATATTTCTTTTGTGTGGGAAGCTATGCTTCTCAAGTCAGTTATTTCTTCAAACCATTATTTATCTATACATTTACTAGTGTTCAACCGGCATCAGTTATGCTGTTTGGAACATAATGAAGATGTTAAACATCTGTTTTCTCTGAATAACATTTTTCATTTTCACCCTTTCACGTAGTTCAAATCAGCTGTGGGTCTAATAAGTTGGCATGAAAGTTGAGCATGAATTTATACACTGCATGTTAGAATATTCTTTGAAAAACAACTTAATATTACTGAGTCACCCCCATATATCCTAATTATTAGGTGCCTTCATTAACAACATAGCTATTCAGTATATATTTGTTATATAGAGAGTACACAGAACATTTAGGATGTCAGACAAAAAAAAACTACTAAATAATGACTTGTTCTGATAAACTGCAGCAAGTGGAAGAAATAATACTTTCCTCTTTAACTAGTTTTGAATGATTTCAGTAACAAGTACAAGCAAGCCATCAAAATTGTTGCATTCTTTGTCACAGAAAGTAACAATTTTTAGTTGATTTAGATTTTTACTAGAGGCCTGAAGGACAGCCTTGATGCACACTGGGTGTCAGGTTCTGGGCAGTTGTTAGCCACTGGCAAATAAGCTTCTGAGCAAATATGGCATTCTTGTAGCCTACTTTTAATATAGTCATACTATTACATACATTTAGGGTACCTAATAAAAAATATATAAAGTGTAAATTCCCCAAACATGGATACGTGTTTATCTCGTGCAAAGCCATTTGTCTCTTGGCACAGATAGCTCTTACAAAGAGAACCTTTCTGTAAACAGTTCTTTAAAAAAAAAAACAACTTGTTTTCTTAGTGTAAAGAAAATTTTAATAATATGAAGAACCTTTTCCACTAAAGAATATTTTGTGCAGTATACAGTGGTTACCATGGATGTTAAAGGGGTCATATGATGCGATTTCATTTTTTCCTTTCTCTTTAGAGTGTTACAAGCTCTTGGTGCATAAAGACTTCATGGAACCATGGACCTTAGGGTAGACGCCATATTAAATTTTATGTGGACGAAAACAAGGCTGTGAGTCTTTACAATGTGCTATATAAAGGGCTTAGATCACATGCAATTTTCACAACTTTGAAAAAACGTTTTGCCTTCTGAAAACCTATTGGAAAGATGTTATGTCAGCCGAGCAATCCGTATGTTTTTAAGCAATCCACTGAACCCTCTGACTGTGCATTTCCAGCCTTGTGTTCATTCCTGTCAGAAATTATATATTGTGCTATCTTGACTAAGGTCTATATATTCCAACAAAAAAAACTAACAAACTATGGTTTTGTGGTACATTTATATGTTAGTATTTACATTTTGTCAAAGTTCTCTCTGCTGATGACCTGAAAGAAACAGAAAGAACTGGAGCTGTACACTATTGCTATGGTTATATTTTCAAGCGAACAACTGACCAGCACAGGGGGGGTGGCAGTGTGGAGGGGCATTTAAAGACAGTCACGTGTCTAAAGCAAGCATATAGCCTCTCCACAGTTTGAGCTCCCAGAATGCATTGCACTCTCAACTTTAAATCGTTAGTATCATATTTAGTGGTTTATATGCTTATGCATCTTAAATACCAATTATGGTAGATTTATTTGTTTATTATATTGTATTGATTTGGTTGGTATTATTTCTAAAGGTCGCTTACCGTCATTGATGTTTGTGTCTCGTCTCCTCTCATACTGAACCTGGAGAGTTTGTTTATTAACACACTCATGTTTTATCTCAAATCGTATAAATCTTTCGCCTTTTATTAAAGATTTCCGTGGGAAGTAACACAATGAGTATAAGCTAATTTTTTGATGCTCTGTTTTTGGCAGGGCTGCTTGTGAAGTTAACGGAAGATTTAGATATTCTGTTTTAATGTGTAAATCTCGCGTTGCCTTTGGAGTACGTTTATAGAAGGATGTTAGATACGACGTTTGTTTGTGATGTGAAGTGAAGTGACAATCGACACAGTATCTTCATGTCGCCACTTACTCCTCTTTGAGATTCGTGTCTCCGGTAACCGGCAGGACGTTCATAGCTTTTCACTTGGTTATGACAGATAGTTTAATTTCTGGTCGAGTAAATGTTTTGCCTTCTGCTAAATATTTTTATGGGGTGTAGTATGAATTTAAAACAGTTTTGACACTCCGCAATTGGGGTTCTCGTTCTTGTTTGAGATAATGTTAGTTTGTCTGCAGTCTTTTTGTCTACCTCCTACACCGTACATTTGTATGCTGTTTAATGCAACTCTTTTCTGAAGTATATATGTTTCAGCATAATAGGCTAAGTAGACGCTAAACCGAGTAGATGAGTCACGTGACGATGAGCGTCCTACTTGGTTCGCTGTTTTAATACAAATTCAAAGTACAGTACTCTTTTTACTGTAAACGTAGCTCCATGTGTTTGACTTGAAGTTTATTTGAAGTTGAAGTAATTTTGTAGTAGCTACCCGTCTCTGAGATTCATGTTTCCGGTGGGCGGTATTTGTTCATGAGCAGCACTAGTTATTACACTTACGATTTACCGCAGAGAGTAATTCTATCGCATTTTATTTAAAAAATTGAGTAATTTGAGCAATGAGTAGAAATTATTATTATTATTATTATTGTTGTGTGCTGCTTCATAGAGAAGCAGTAGGCTGTCTGTTAACATAAATAAATAAATATATAAATAAATTTACTGTACTGAATGTTGAAAATATAAAAATGATTATGAAATCAGTGTCTTGAGACGTTATGGTAGCCCATATCTAGCCTATACAAGTGGTTTCTAACTCTTTTTGTCATTTCACTTTTCTGTAATTTTGAATGAAGCAGACAAGAAATGCAAAATATGTCTACTTTTCATTTTAAAAAGACATGTTATGCTTTACTTGCCATGGATCAGTGTAATTGTCTGCCAGTATTTTTTAGTGACAGTATGGGTTCACTGTCATGGGTATACACAATAATAATACAGCAGGGGAGAGCGGGGCACAATGTAACACTTTTTGACTTTCTCAGTTTGTGTAAATCCACATGGGGTTCAGAGTATACTTTTTTTTTATCCACAGTAATTTTACACTTGTCTAGTACAAATACGTCGCTTTGTTTCATAATTACAGTGTATACATTTTTCTTTATTTACCCTCAAAAACTGGAAGTGGAATGTGACAACATGCCCTGTAGGTGGGGTACATTGTAACATCTGAGGGGCAGGATGTAACATGACCATATGACAACTTAAAATGTTATCTGATCGAATTAAAAAAAATATACAAGACAAACTAAAATATTTTGTCAAAATAAAATTATTAACTTTTTCAAATAAAATAATGGCGTTTTTTAAGAATTAAAAATAATCTGATTTTGGAGTTTGACAATGAACACATTGCAACCATGCTTGGGATGGCCCACATAATGAGCAAAAATGCTTTACATTTCTTGAAATAATAACTTCTGAACATTAAACATTGACTGTCAGTCTTTATTCACCTGTTCCTCGTGGTTTCTCATTAAAATTCATTAAAGTAAATAGTATAAATTACATTGTGAATAGCACGTTGTAACGCAGTGTTACAACGTGCCCCATCTGCGCTACTGGAATTTAAAACTGGTTAGTGTCTTCTGCTAGTTAGCGTAGGATTTAAAAAAAAACTATCTAAACTCATAAATAACAGATTGGAGATTAAAATAATAGCAGATTTGTCTCATTTTAAATGAGTAATAAAAACTGAGATGAAAAAATTACTTAAGCCAGAAATATAATTTTACTATGGTAAAATAAATGTTCAGCGATATCTTCAAAAGAGTGTGGAAATATTCAAACCACGTGTGTTACAACTAACCCCGCGTTACTTTGTGCCCCGCGCTCATCCACATGTGAAAAGAAGCACTCGGTGTCAGTATAAACATAAGAAAACTGTGACTTTGAATATTAATGTTTATTGAAATTGACAGGGTTTTCACAAGTTAGAATATGTAGTTTTAATATATATGCAATGTGTGTGATGTACTTTATTGCCAAGGCATGAAATCTATTACTCCGAGCTGATGAACCCTTATTTATCTGGAAGCCTCTTAATGTTTCCTCTGTCTTCTCTTCTTCTTCCTGCTGCCTTATGACCTGAAAATAACAAATGTCTTCAAAATGTCTTTCTGGGATTGGTCAGGTCCTCAACTGCTAAAGTTTAAAATATTCTCCTGGAGCAGTGTATATAACCTATAACCTATTCTTCCAGATTTATGAAAATGGGAGATACAGAGTGCTTTAAAGCAGTATGAATGTGGCCAAGGGTGCATATAACTAGGGCAATATTGTCTGATAAAGATTTATCAGAACAGGCGGTGAATGTTGGACAGAGGTGAGCACACTGACACGAGTATGTCTTAAAACAGGAATTCGGCACTCTTCAAAAACACTTTTTTTCGAAGTTGTAAATAAAACAAAGATTATTGGAGTATGTTTTTCAAGAAAATATTTCTACTTAAAAATGTAATGTTTAATTTAATGCTAATTGTTTCTTTGTAATTATTTGTGAAATTTACTAGCAATTTCTGTGTGAAAAATTGTTTCAAAGTAAATCCTACACCATTTTTTTTGTATGTCTTTTAAGCATGATGTAGTATGTCTTATCAGTATAACTTGGAAGTGACTGCTACAAAGAACAGAAGTGGGTGAAGGGTTCAAATCATTTTGTCTACATATTTTTCAAAACTATTCATATCTTATGAACACAATTCTAGCTAAAACACTAAATCCAGCGACTGTCATATACTGTACATTCAAATAGCACAGTGTTCACGTGTGTGTAATTTGCAAGGCAACCATGACGTTGGATTTGGGTTTAAACTACTGGACATCAAGGCACTTCCCCCAATGGGAGGTGCATTACACAATTGTTGAAGGAGAGGAGGAGCTCTATGGGGTCAAAAGGCAACAGCAAAAAGAGTGACTTTGTAGTAGTAGAAGAAGCATAGCAGACAAATAGAAAAGAGAGGAGCACATGAATGAAAAAGACATGAGTACAGAAGGAAATCAGAGTATGGGTGGAGAAGGAGTGGTGGACGCAAAACCTGGCCAGTCTGGGTGGAAGGTAAGAGAGTTTTGAGAAGTTTGTTTATCTTTCAGAAAGACTGCAGCTATAGGTATTCATGTAGCTGCTTATAATAATGAATAAAAAGATCTTTAACATTAATGTGGGCCTTCATGGAGAGCAGTATTCTTTGTCACATTTAGCATTTGTTTGTTCAGACTGTAAGGTCCACACACATGGCCCAAGGAAGGTATCCAGTGGTGGATGAAGGTCACTTGCGTGTTCGGTCTTTTCAGCGCGCAGAGTTATTCAATTTAGGTTTAACTGAAATCTGACTCCATTTTATTATCTCATCTGACTCCATTTTAGTATTATCTGTTTCTCAGGAGATCAAAGTATCTGAGTTTCCTGAGTTTCTTTTATCCTTACAAGACCAATGTTCATGTGGTTGATAGCATGTAGACTGATAGTAACCAGATGTTCACCTCACTTCCTGTGATATCAGCCCTGCATTTGCTGTATGGTCACTAAGTTTACACAGAGCCATAAAGCTGTAAACTAAATTTTGTAGATTTTGTGTGCTAATGTGGTCGAAAGTACAGAAGATCCTTTGAAACCAGCCACCAGGTTTCAAAGTACCACGTGATGATTGTTTAACATAGGGAAATAGCTTGACGAATGGGGCTTCCTGTAACCTGTATAAGCATCTCCATTAAGAAAGGATTTAATTTTCTCTGACCTTTTTGTTGTTACAGCAATTCCAGTGCCCCATAGCTGATCCACGCTTTCCTAGGGAAGATATAAAGCAGATATGGAAGGAGTGTCAGTACGAGAGCTTCTGGTATCGAGGTAAAGAAACAAAGACACATTTGTACTCATTTACTATCCTTAAACTGAAAGTTGACCCAAAAATCATTTACTCACCCTCATGTCATTCCAAACCTGTATGACTTGCTTTCTTCTACTAAACACTAAAGAAGATATTTTGAAGAATTTTGGTAGCCAAACTCTTTTGGTTGACTTTCATATAAGCATGCAGATTTCTTTTGTTCCACTGAATAAATATTTTTCATTTTTGGGTGAACTATCCCTTTAATAGAGATAGACCAGATATGATGTTTTTGCTCACCCTTACCAAAAAGAAGTATACTTAAAGTTTATTTTATTAAGTATACTTAAGTATAGTTCAAGTATGTTTTAAGTATACTTTATGTAGTAATTATACAAATATCAGTGCACTAGTAGTATACTTGTAAGTGTACTATTTCAATACTCCTTGGGACTAAATTGGCCCACTTTCTAGTATATAAAAGTATAATTTTAAGTATACTTTAAGTATAACAGTAGTAAACTTTGAGTACAAAACTAGATTACATATGTTTTTAGTTTGTACTGCAGCTATACTAAAAGTGAACTTATAGGTATACAGATAGTTTACTAATTAAATACTTGTAGCATTTTAGTACACTTTGAAGTATAGTCTCAGTAAACTACTAGTTTAGTAGTTTTATACTGCAAGTATACTCGTAAGTTTTCTTTAAGTGAACTTTACATCATACTTTAAGTATACTACTATGTCCCTATTTAGGTATTAATTTGTATATATTTGGTTATATGAATATCTGAACATACAAAACATCAAAAGAAAGAACAGGGTATCTGCTTGTAAACAAAAACATTTTATTCTAGCTCTATACATTCTTTTTTATAATGAATGCGTGTAAGTTTCATAAAAAATAACGAAATAAATAAACAACATTTTGAACAAAAAGCTGAAAAAAAGACTAAATTTTGATTCAGAGTGATAATCAAAACATAGATGGAGTCGTTCAACACCCCAAAGCTTGACAGTCATTACCTCTTCATGGGTCGACATTTTATTCCATAATGTTACACAGTTTTGATGCTGTTTTATGTCTGTCTGATCATGTTAGATGAAGCATCTGTTGTTTTGGTTTCTTCTTCGCTTGTGTTTTGGAAATTTTGTACAGAAGGTGTGTAATAGCGCCCCCTACCGTATAACAATGAAAACATGGATTCCCGAAGCACAAGTATAGCTCAAACATATTTAGACTTTTTCTTAGTATAAGTCAAGTATACTTAAATGTCATTTTAAGTATATTTCTGAGAAGTACATAAAGCACATTTCTGAGAAGTACATAAAAAGTAGACTGAAAGTATACTTTCCTATTTTTTAGTTTAAAAGAAGTATACTAATAGCACACTTGAATAAACTTCTTTCTTGTAAGGGCAGTTCAGTTGCATTTGTATTACAAAAAGTAAGTTTCACAAGAAAATACTATTTCAGTCTTTTTACTTCAAAATTTAATGTTTAATTAAGTGTATTATTTGCGGTTTCTTTGTAATTATTTGTATAGGAGATCATGAACCGCACTCACGAGAGTCTTCTTTTTACATTTTATTTTACATTCTTCATTGATGGGAAAAGACAATTCATTATTTGTAATTATTTGTGAAATACTAGCAATTTCTGAGTGAAACTTGTTTGTATATCAGTTTTGTTTTTTATTGTAGTGGTGTAGTAGATGGGTTGGGTTATACTTTAAAAATGTGTATTTTGGACAAAACATTGAGTGGTTCCCCTCTGAATCATCTTCACAGGTTGTTTGCTTTTGTAAAAAGGACTTGACAGGTGTGTACAAATTTTTTTTTTTTTAAGAACATTTGTCCAAAAAAGGGCTAATGGAGCAAAGCAGTGGTGCCTTTATTATCCAGTGCTTATGTTTTGACATGCATGGCTGGAATTTGGTTTTACCCTAGCACTGTTTGTGTTGGGGGAAACATGAGCCTCATGTTAAGTCTTCCAGCTGACTGTGATCTGTGATCCTGTTGTCCATTGTAACCAAATATTCAGAATTGGATGGTAAAATGTAAAATATCCATCATCAATGCACTTATACAAGCAACATTTTATCTGACCAGCCCCTCTGGTGTATAGCATGGATAATGTCTACCTCAGAATCATTTCTAGAGCCTCGTAAGTCATATTTGAAACACTGAAGTGTCCTCAGATTGCTTCTTGTCTTGCATCTCTGATTGAGAATTTACGTATTTACATTGAGTGTGACTTCTGGATCTGATTTTACCAAAGGAACCATTTGGTATTTAGATGTTGAATGTTTAGATGAATGAATGAATCTAGATTTGGAGTAATAATGTGTTGCTTTTTAACCTCTGACCTGTTCATGTCTCAACAGCTCTTCCACTGTCTGCCAGCAGCATGGCTGTGACTGGTGGCCTCATATATAGCGGTAAGATTCAGTCTACAAATAATGTAATCAAGATTCATTACACAAAGCTGTTGGGTTTGAGCCGTGATTTCAGGAGTAGTTTGGGCCGTTTTGTTTAAATGTTTAAATGAAACGAAATAATATATACAGTTAGGTCCATATATATTTGGACACAGGTAAATTTTTTTATTATTTTAGCTGCTGACCAAAACATATTCAAGTTATATAATGAATATGGGCTTAAAGTGCACACTCTGAGCTTTAATTTGAGGGTATTCTCATCAAAATGGGAGGAAAGGTTAGAGAATTACAGCTCTTTAATATGTACCTCCCCCCTTTTTCAAGGGACAGTTGACTCAAAAGCTGTTTCATGGACAGGCGTGGGCTATTCCTTCATTATTTCTACATCAATTA